CCTTAATTACTCCACAGACATCCAATACCACAGGCTTACCTCAGTTTCATCTTTCTTTATTGAAGTTCCTGATTGTACATGAACCTCATCTGATACCACGCCAATGGAAAATTTTTCACTTTGAACATCAACATCATTTTCCATTTTGATTATACACAGGTTCTGCTGTAGAATTAAAAATAAATCATAAAATTCTGTTAATATCTCAAAAATCGAGGGAAATAATTGTACTCTGAATAATGCATATGAACAATATTGTAGTAATATGACAATGTTCATGCATGCATGCCTGTCATTACAGCTAAACATAAAAAAAATATATGTAATTTAAATTCACACAGTGTGTGGTATTTCCAGAATTCAATACAGATTTCAATCATAGTACATGTTGAAGGATATATTTGAAGTGAAGGGCACACATAACAAATTTCACCCTGGTATCCTCCTCTTCTACACATCTCAAGAACCAAACAATATTGTGTAAACACTACAAAGAATAAATAGTAAATTTTAATGTTATGAAACTGAGATTAAATGTAATACACATACGCATTCCCACTAACCAGTACAAAATTATTTATGTTCTTCCCTTTGGGAGAGAAACCAGGTTTCACACACACAAAAAATACAGGATCTTCAGGAAAAGACATTGTTGTTACAAATCCCAATATTTGCTGATATACTGCACTGGCATTAATAACTTTGGTATCATAGAACATGTAAGAGGTTAGAGTATTCTGATCAATTAGCAGTGCTTCCTAGGCGGGACATTCAGCAAGCATTAATAAGCAAGCTGACATACACTAGTGACCAGTGTGTGATTTGTATGAAACAGTTTGTTTTATCAAACTGGAAGTGTTGTATGATGCAGCGCGAGTTTAGAGTGAGACTGCAGAGAAAGTCCGAAAAAAATCAACTATTTAAATGTGTGACATTTAGACATTTGAATGAACATTCTCAATATATGGCCAACTCTGACTGAAATCCTGGATGATTTGGACTTACATAAACCTGTCCAAAGTACTCACCACAACTGAATCTCTGATTATTTTTTTCAGGATTATAGAAGGGCAGGAAAAATTAGTTCTCAGACTGATACCACACCCACTGGGTTATCGGAATATTATATTAAGAATCAATCAGTTAATAATGCAACAAATACATACATAACCAAAATTCAAGTATCTCTTCTTCATAGTTTTCCAAATCACTAATTTCCTCTACTTTCTGAAGAAATTCAAAGTAGCTCCTGCATGGAAACACAATATCCTGAGAAGCCGCCTACAAAAGAATGAGACGCATGCCTCACAAGTCATACGCTCTGTGAGGTTTGTGAACAAGGATGGCCAACGAGAAAAAAACAATTCATTACACATGTTATCATGTGACGACTACAGATGTATCTTGTGTCATGCAATAAGCCTACATATTCAAGTGAATTAATGCCTGTAAAATTAGGAGGAAGATATGTATAACAAAATTGAAGAAAAAGAAGGTAAAGTATTTCACTAGTACCAAAAGCGATGAAAAAATGCTATTGCATTACTTAAAACATAACAAAAATTATATTTGAAAAATATAATAAGAATTTACAAAACAGAAATGTCTCCAGAATGTGATCTGCTTAGACTAGAAAGTGAACGAATTCAATTTTGTAAGTACAAAATACATTAAATTATTTATTCAGATTGGAAAGAAAAATTACGGTTCGCAGTAAAGTTACACAAAAACGGGAAATCGTACATAATGATGATAACACTGGACGGAAATATATTCTTCTAGTGAATGGTCGGTGAATTGAATGTGTGAAAAGTGACGAACAAGAAAAACCAAAAATATAATAAATTATGTATAACGTACCCTTCCACAGATGTTAGGAATTTTGTCACACTCTTTGAAAAGGATGGACAACTCTCGAAGAATATAACTTGGTTTTTTTACCCTCTGCCTCATCTTCATAAGCTACGTTATGTTGTACTCACTGATTTAATGAGTATAACCTCACTTTGAGACTTCGTGCAGACAAAATTAACTCGCCTTACAAACCGATATTTATCAACCCACTATATGTACAAAAAGCTTCGGCCCAATTATTAAACTGCTTTTAAAAACTCATTCCCCCTTTGAACTTTTTTTAAAAACATATTTCTCCACTATGCAATGTCTATCGGTAACCTATCTAGATGCAAAATACATCCCAGTAGTATGTAATTTTTATCGCTACATGAACAAGTTACATGCATGCACATTTATTTGTTGCAATCGTATTTTGGTGATCATTAAAGTAACGGCCACTTCGTAGTACGGACTAATGTTTGCGGCTTGTAATTAGTAATGGTAAAAATCGAATAACTGGTGAATAATTCGCAAATTATAAACTTAGCACTTAAGCGACCCATTCTTCAGCTCGCCGCGGGTCACAACATCTCCTCCATTCCTCTCTGTCGCGTGCTCGGGTCGTCCTTTGTATGATGGTTTGTTTTTTTGTCACCAGTCTTCCAACTCGTTTGATGCAGTCCTACATTTTCGCCTATCTTGCGTAAATCTCTTCATTTCCACATAGTTTTTACAGCCCACATCCTATCCTGAACTTTCCTTTCACTTCGTTCATTGCTTCTTCAACATTCAAGTTAGACAGCAGGGGCGATAGGCTGCATCCTTGCCTTACTCCCTTTTTAATAAATGCCTTTCCTTTCTCGATTCTCCGCTTTTATTATGGCCACCTGATGCTTATAAATACTGTAAATAACTCGTCTATCTTCATACTTCAGCCCTACCTTCAAGATTTCAAGCATCTTATTCCAATTTACATTGTCAAAAGCCTTCTCCAAGTCTACAAATGTCATAATTGTGTCTTTATTTTTCTTAATCTGTCCTTCTTTTATCAAACGTAAGGCCAGAATTGCCTCTCGAGTACCCACACTTTTTCTAAAACCAAACTGATCCTCAACTAATGCCTCTTCAACTTTCCTTTCTATTCTTCTGTATATTATTCTAGTTAATAATTTTCATCCATGAGATATCGAGTTGATTGTGCGGTAGTTCTCACATTGGTCTGCTCTCGCTTTCTTGGGAAGTGTGAAGATAATGTTCTTTTGGAAGTCTGACGGCATTTCCTTTTTTAGTATGCTCCATTCTTCTTCCATCAAATTACCTTCAGTGATTTTCTTTTAACCCTGAGATAACAGCCTCGCTCCATTATCTTTTAATCTATCGATGTCCCATCTGTTTGCACCATGTTTATTATTTATTCTTTTGAATTTCAGCCTACACTTCATCATCACTAAATTATTATCTGAGTCAATGTCTGCCCCTGGGCATGCTCTGCAATCCAAAATTTGATTTCTGAATCTCTGTCTAACCATAATATGATCCAGCTGGTACTTTCTTGTATCCCCCCGGTCTGGTCCGTGTATATATTCTCTTGTGATTTTTAAAAAGTGTGTTTGATACAACTAGTTGATATTTTTCACAAAATTCTAAAAGCCTACTTCCTTTCTCATTCCTTTCCCCTAGACCATATTCTCCAGTAATATTGCCTTCCTTTCCTTCTCCCAGTCTCCCATGATTATCAAATTTTCATCATCTTTTACATACTTAATTCCTCATATATTTTCTCTATTTCATCTTCTTCTGCTTGTGAGGTGGACATGTAAACCTGTAAGATGGTTGTTGGTTTTGTTTTGATTCTGATAAGAATAACTCTATCATTGTATTGCTCATAGTAACTGACTCTATTACCTAATTTTTTGTTCATTAAAATTCCCACTCCCATAACACCATTCCCTGAGGATGTGCTTATTACTCTATAGTCCCCTGACCAGAAATCTTGTTCGTCTTTCCATTTTACCTCACTTATCCCCACTAAATCCAATTTCAACTTATTCATTTCTTTCTTCAGATTTTCCAGTTTCCCAGCCCTATTCAAACTCCTAACATTCCACTCTCTGAATTGGAGAACGTTAGTTTTATCCATTTTCTTTCTTTCCCCTTTTTATGGCCTCCCTCCGAGTAGTTCCATGGCCACATAAATTTCTGACGTTGTACTCGACGATAAGACAGTCTGCCCAATGAGCAGGGGGCCGACCCGGCGGACGCTTCCTGTCTCGTGGGTACCACGTCAAAGTGGTAGTACTCCATCTGCCATCGTTTCGCCTCACGACGTGACCTGCCCAGTGGTGCTTCTGCTTCGTCACATGCCGTAATGGGCCTTAAAGCCTTGCATCCGTCTGATGTCATCAGAGTGAAGATGGCGGTCTCTCTGCTGGTGTAAGGTGACCAAGAAGTCGACACTCAAGGGAGGCATGGGCGACTTGAAATTGCTCCGCAAAGCCCTTAGTAAGCGTCCACGTCCCGGCGCCGTAGCAAAGTGCCGGCAGTACGATGGAGTCGAAGAGTTGAGTGCGTAGTTTTACGGCTTGCGTCGATCATCCTTTAAATAAATTTATATTCTCCTGCGAAGTTGTTAAGCTACTTTAGAAACACGGTGTATATTACACTAACAAGCCAGAATGTCAATTCATGCCGAAATCGGAGCTGATAAATTTCAGGGAATGCTTGCTATTAATCTGTCCAAAAACTTTTGTCCTAACGCCTAATATAAAAACAAAGACTAAAGTACACAAGAGTGTAATTTCGACATTGGGATCACTAAATACCAGGAGTATGTTGATCGTCTGTGCTTTTAAAAAATAACACTGCCTTTCGGAAGCTGGATCTACTTCCTTCCTCAGTTTATAAAGGGGGGAAGGGAACCTACACAGTTGGGTCAGACAGAAAGAGTTCAACTGTCTCTGAACCATTCAAAATTGACTTTCGCCAGTTGTGCTGTATAGGTGTGAAACTTGGTCTCTGACTTTGAGGAACATGGATTGAGGGACTCAGAACAGTTTCTTGAGGTAAAAATTCGGGCCTAAATGGGAGGGGAATGTATCATTTGCATTGTGACAGCAGAAAAAGTCATATTCATGATGGGACAATAGTTACTTTAATCTGGGTATGCAGTAATACTTCTGCAGACTCTTCTGATAATAGGAAGACTTTGCAGTTGGGTTGTTGTGAGCAGATGTGTTTGGGAAAGAGCTGTTAATAATGGGTTGCTACCTGGAGGACTACCAAGCAGGCGTGGGTACCTGGGCAGGGAGGACTTCATGGAGTACTGTACAAGGACGAGACAGATTTGGACATGGTGGAAATTACTTAGGGAATACGATTCTGTGTGCAGTGGCTTTAGCTGTGCTGTTGATAATCAGCGGTGTGGAGGCTGAGAACATTTTGCAAGTTTTGTGTAGTGTGTGCGACAGAAACCTAAAATCTGGAACTCAATGCGACACGTGTGGACGGTGGTTTCACAACAGTTGTGGAAACGTAAAGGCTCAAATGGTGGACAGCGGGGGGATTGCAATTTAATATTCCAGTAAACAATTAGAAATTCGAATGTTTAAAAAGAGAAGGCATGTTTAGTAGCCGAAAATCTTGATGAAACAGTTAGAAGCCTTGAGAGTCTGGTGGTATGTGTACCAACCGCTTTCACAATTAATAACCATTCATTGTGTATTTGTGGGTTTCGTATGATTCTCAGGATAAACAGCGATCATTTTCTTAAATGGCATTAACCGATTGATCTTTGTAATGGTGAATTGTAGTGTTTTCCTTGCGGTACGGACAGAATTCTTGAATTTCCCGCAGATACAATGCGCTAACTCAGGCGAACCCTTCACCATTAGTACTAAAATCATTAGGAAAAGGCTAGCAGGGATGGGAAAAAGCAAATCAGTAGGGCCAGACTGCGTTTCTGGGGAAATTCTAAAACTGGGTGTGGAAGTCATGATTCCATACCTGGCGCGATTATTGGACGTAACAATTAATGCCACTATACCAAGGGA